TGATAAGATTTGTATATTAAACCAATAATGAGATTATTTCAATCTGAATATAATTAGCATGGCCTATCTTAAAATAATATCAGAAATAACACTATCATTAATAATGAAATGATAACCTTAATTAGGATATAAAACCGGGCCATAAATTGTAAATGTTAATGTATACTTTTGGTGATTATTAACTAGAAATGTCAATATTTTTCAAATTGTTTTAGATTTTAAATGGTTATTTTATTAACACTTATTAATAAATTTCTGTTTAGAGATGGCTATAAAGGTTAATCGCTCTTGGGCCTGTGGAGAGGAGAGGTGAGGAAAAAATAGCAAATAATTTTTAGCTAACTACAATAACAATAAAGAAATGTTAATGGACAATATTTAATGATATATACAGGTGTGTTGTACTGGTAAAAGTAAAATGGACAGAAGTGTTAATTTGTGAGTTTGGGGCGGGGGAAGGGGAGGGAATGTTAGATATCCTTTTAATCGACTTTCTTCTAGAATATGGCATAAAGATGTAAAGTTATGGCAGATTCATTGAGACTGGAAAAAAAAATGCCAGTAGGTGGTTGTGTCCTTAAAACCCTAATTAAATGAAAATTGCGGTAAGGTGATAGTAAAATATATAAATTCTATGATGTACAACCTAAACTGAATGAAATATATGTAATGATTGTGGAAGAAATGCATGAAATGTATCTGTAACCAATGGATACGCTTTCTACAAGATGTAATGAAAGATGACTTTTTTTTCTTTTGTGTTTCTCTTTAATAAAAACAATAAAAAAAATTTAAAAAAGAAATAACACTATCTAATAGGTAGTCTGTTACTGACAAAAGGTCAGTAACAACACTAGATACATCGCAAATTGGATGCTGTTAAAGATATTACAGTGAAACAATACAGAAGCATTAGAAAGAGTTTAGAAAGATCCATATGAGAGATTAGGCCAGCAACATTTAGAATGGAAGATCATTAGGTCAGAATCACTGAGTTTGGTTTTAAGATTTGATTTTAACATTTACCCAATAGTAAGATAGGTGCCAGGGATGGTAATCACTTACCATCCCTAACGATAAAGGTTCCCCTCACACATATGTGCTAATCGTTCCTGACTCTAGGGGGCAGTGCTCATCTCCGTTTCAAAGCTGAAAAGCCAGCGCTGTCCAAAGACGTCTCCGTGGTCATGTGGCCAGCATGATTAAACTCCGTTACCTTCCCACAAAAGGTGGTCCCTATTTTTTACTTGCATTTTTACATTTGAACTGCTAGGTTGGCAGAAGCTGGGACAAGTAACGGGAGCTCACTCTGTTATGTGGCACTAGGGATTCGAACCACCAGGCTGCCGACCTTCTGATTGACAAGCTCCGTGTCTTCACCACTGAGCCATCGGTTCGAAAATGGGAGCATGCTCCATAGAGGAGCACCCTCAATTTCTGCTACCATTTCGGCAAACTGGTCCGAACCGGTAGAATACCACCACTGATGGGTGACCAATAAACTTTATAAATAAATAAACAAACTATCTAATTCAGCTTGTTTACTCTGCCTAGCAGCAATTCACCAGCATTTTGCTGAGAATCTTTTATTTACAGTACCTTATCATTTTTTCCAGGGACTTAATATGGGTATTTCGGCATGCAAAAATGTGTAAATACCAGAGGTGGATTCCTACCGGTTCAGACCGGTTCGGCTGAACCAGTAGTAACTTGGCAGCCTGGGTCACTGGAACCGGCAGCAACCCAGGCCTGCCAAACCCCCAAACCAGTTCTCTTGGTGGCGCCATCTTGTTTTTGCCTTCTGCGCATGCACAATTTTTGCCTTCTGAGCATGAAATTTTTGTTGCACTGCGCATGAACGCACTGTGCATAACAAGTGCACACACTCAGCACATCCCTGAGCGAACCAGCAGTAGCGGAAGTTGGAACCCATCCCTGGTAAATACAGAGGTGGGTTCCTATCAGTTCGCACCTATTCGGTAGAACCGGTTCGTCAAATCTACCGAACCGGTTAGAAGAGGTTCCACCAGTGGACCCGGAAAGCAGGCCACACCTACAGAAGAGGTTCCAAAATTTTTTGAAACCCACCACTGGTAAATACCCTTGTGGAATATTTGAGGAAGCTTCCTTAGACTCAGCAAGTGACTGAGTCTAGCTTTGTCAACTTTCCCTGCAGCATCCAGCAAACATCGATCGCCTGTGTACATGCAGACAGTGAACCTGGTACCGGTGGAAGCTCTAAGGCAGTGTTTCTCAACCCTGGTGACTTTAAGTCCTGTGGACTTCAACTCCCAGAATCCTACAGCTGGCTGGGGAATTCTGGGAGTTGAAGTCCACAGGACTTAAAGTCGCCAAGGTTGAGAAACACTGCTCTAGGGACTCTACAAAAAATTCAGGCTGTTACAGCAAATACTCTCCAACTGATACATGATGGCACATCATGA